CTGTGGGAGTTGGATGGCCTTATTTTGCTTCTGACAAGTCCTGTGACCTTTGGCAAGTTGTCAATCCTCTATAGATCTCGATTTTTCAAGTAAAATATGAAAAAGTTGGACTGGTCATGCTTTATAGATTGGTTATGTCCAGCCCTGTGTTAAACCAGTCACCCCCAATGTTATGGTTCAAACTCCCAAACACTGGGATCCCAAAGTTACATTGTTCATGGCCAACACCTTGAACAGATTCTCCCTGTTTGTCCATCCATGTCTGGGATCTTGATAGTGGACCACACATACTCCTTAAATCTCCCCTTACATAACTTTTCTTATAGAGACCCCTTGCTTCCCTCCTCTATTGCAATCCTCACTTAACTCGGGTTATGTGGTTTCAGCCACTCCCATAACCACCTGATCTGGTAACGACTTGGCAGGTTCCCTTAGGACCAGTGCCCTGCAACTCTCGCCTTTGTCTTACAACCCAGACCCAGGTATCTTTACCAACTTCACAGGCCTTAAATCAAAACTAAACCAGGCAGTCAGGTGACCCTCTATCCAGAGTCTCAAAGTGACCTCAGAGTGAAGCCCACACTAAGGTCACCACTTTAAATAAAGTTTAAAAAAATCACTTTCCAAAGTTTATTTGAAACAGGCACTCTAAGGAGAAGCTCATTTCCTTAAAATATCTAAGAACTGAAAATGAAAAGATGATAGATTTTTCTGACGACATACTGTGAAGTGTATAAATAAAATTCTGCAGAGTGTATGCAGAAATCTTACAAATAATTCATTTCTGTTGCAGTTGTCCACCACCCTCGATATTACATTTAGCTAACTTAATTTTCCGTGGATCAAATTCATTCAAAGTTAAATTTCTCTTAATAGGTCATCTGAGTAAACAATTTCAAGTGTTACTTGCCAAAAAAACAATATGTTTCCAGGCTTCAGATGAAATCGGCAGTGTCAGGCTAAGAAAACAACCTTAAAAATTCACAGAGAGCTGGAACAATTGCAGAAAAAATTGGATCCTGGAGGTCAGTCTTTTTCACTCAGTTTTGGAGGTTAAAAAAAAGACAAATTTCCACTAAAACCAGGCCTTTGAGGGGAGAGGGAAAATGCCATTTTTGACAAAATCCCAAATATCTCAAAGCAATGTATTCTTAAAATACTGTTATCATATGAAGAGTGTGCCATCCCAATGTTGTCACATGTCACAGATATCACTACCATTTTATAACAGGCCCCTGAACCATGGGCTTTACCCAGCCCACAAACTGTGCCCTGAGCTGTTGACTTTCAGGGAGAGGGAAAAGGGACAGGGCAGGGGGAGAGGAGAAGGGACTAGAAGAAGGGTTGAGGTATGGCAGTTATTAAGGGAAGTGGAAGGGTCTCTTGGGGTTTTTGTCAATCTCTTCTCTGGAAATTTCTCAGGCTTATTGGAATTGTACAATACAATGGATAAAGTAGCTGAAGGTTTGTTTCATAGTTGCAAAAATGGATATCTGAGAAGCAAACAAACCCCATGCCCACAACAGGAAATACAACCACAACAGAAGTAATTCCAGCTCTAATTTCTGAACCTTCAGCCTTCCTCTACTGGCACCTAAAGCCAGAGGTTCTGAGAACATAGCCTGAGAAGACAGTGACATCACAAGTGGTAACTGGATGTACTGCAAGACAGATGTTACATTGACTCCCACCTTTGATCTTGACCCTTACTCACACAGGTATATCTCATACTGGCACCCCGAATTCCCAAGTTCCTGTTAAACAACCACCTCTCTAAGCACTGACGGGACCCTGATCCATCATCTCTCTCAAGTACATGATTCTGCTGACGTACAGATAGGAAAGGGAAGAGGTCAGAATCAACAGGGCTCCCTTCCTAGCCCCTATGTTAAACCTTTTAAGAGCAGACACCACTGTATTCAATCAGTACAAATGCTATTCATTGCATTCTTAAGGGAAACTGTTGGTTTGTTCCAGCTCAGTCTTCCCACTCAACAATATGTCAAAAGTAGAGATGAACACAGTATTCCCCCCAATCCACAGTTTCACTTTCTTCAGTTTCAATAACCTATAGTCACTCATGGTCCAAAAATATTACATGGAAAATTTCAGATATGAGCAATTCATAAGTCTTACATAACTTTTATCACAGTATACTGTTATAACTGTTCTACTTTATTATTAGTTATTATTGCTACTCTCTTACTGAGTTTAATTTAAAAATTACACTTTATCATAGGTGTGTATGTACAAGAAGAAAACAGTATATATAGGGTTTAGTACTCTCCGTGGTTTTAGATATCCATCAGGAGTCTTGGAACATATCCCCCATGGCCAGGGGACAGTTGTACTATGAAAATGGTAACAGTAAATCAGGACCTTCTCAATTTTTTTCATAATGTATCTTCTCAGTCAAGAATGAGAAGCAGACTGCATCCTGGGAAGAGCACTGAGGTAGCAGGCAGTGGGGGTCATGTGTCTATGGCATGTTTCACTCACATCTCTGCTAGACACAGATGCTGAGCAGAAACACTGATGCTCATTGTCATGCACGAGATGTTCAAAGCTTGTCTGTGAGAAGATGGTACTTGAGTCTCACTGTCCAGCTGACTGACAGCTCAAACCTGGGTCACATGAGGTTGTGGACTACTCACAGAACATACTTAAGGAGAGTGGCTGGAGAATGTGGTTCTCGGAATCTTGCACCTGACCCACCTGTGCTGGAGAGATGGGTACCCCCTAGCAGATTGTAGGAAAGTCCTGAGTAAACTCCTACTTCAGAGCTATTAAACGTGGGGCACTAAGCTTTATTTTACTTTATTACTTCATTACCAATTCTCAAAGCAGTTGTGAGAAGGAAAAATAATTATAATTTCACAGAGAAACAGGTTTAAAAAAAACTTCCTTATCTTGCCCAAAGCCATAGCTTTTAAGCTGCGATTCAAACCCAGGTGAGCATGACTCCATGTCCCAAGTTAAAGATGGGACTCTTGGATATACATCTGCTCTGCATTCTTGAGATGCATGTGAAATGGACACACAGGAGATGTGTCCACAGACAACCAGAAGTTTTAGACCAGCCTATCTAGAATGATTCAGAACATTTCTAGTCACTCTCAACATTTCTGATGGAAATGTTCTAGAACCTGTGCTGCCAGTTATGGTAGCCACTAGTCACATGTAGATACTGGATACCTGACATATGGCTAGTGCAGTTGAGCACCTGTATTTTCATTTTATTTAACTTGCATTCACTCAAATTAAAATAATCACTGAATATCCATATTAGAGGCACAGTTACAGACATTTCATACCAACAGAACTTAGGAAAGAAAACAGTACCCACAGTTTAGATGATTGAAGTTTCATGAATACTACATGCTCTGACATGCTAAGGCATATCAGTTTCAGGCATGCTCATCTTCCTACAGAATTTGGCTCAGAGTAAAGGGTCCCAGAAATGAAGCCCAGTGCCTTTGGTCTACAGATGAGGAAATCAAGAATGTCCATCATGGTTCCACATTCCTTTTGGACCTGCTGTATGCAACATGACCAAATTCTCCTTTATTGCCTCCCATTTCTCTCCTGAAGGCTTTCTTCTCCTCCTTTTCCCTGTTCCCTCTCTGCCAACCCCAACAGGTGTAAGGTTCGTGCTCTTTTTATCAACCTGGACATTTTCTATGCTATCTATGAGTTTTGTCATTTCCTCACTTGGAATAGCTTTCAATGCACTTGAAGTTACCACATCTGTCACTCTGAGAAAGGCATTTCCTAACATAGTGAGCAATACCACTCACAGAGATACTGCCCACCTTTCCTTAAAGGCATAACCCCAACAACAGGGCACAGAAGCTCTTCATCCCCACTGGCCCTGCATATGGCCAAACCCAACACTGGAAACTAGTTACAATATCCTATCTGACTTCATTCTTTCCCCCCAAACAGTATACAACTTTGTGAAACATCTTCTATTCTCAAAGGTCTATGACCTTCAGCGATATAGTGATGATTGTCTGTAAGCATCCATGCTGACACTAAAAAATGAGGCAGGGCTTTGGATGTGGGATAGATATGTTATTGAGTTTCTAGGCCCATGTAAGGGTATGCATGAAGTCCAAGTGCACACCAGGGAAGAAAGGAAGGCCCTGAAGAGTTCTGGATCCAAGTCAGGATGACAAAATATGGCCACAAACCTAATCCATCCCACAGCTGGTTTTATATAGCCTGTAAGCTAAGAATAGTTTAAAATTTTTAAAGCATTGTTAAAAAAAGATTTTTAAAGACAATGTTATAGATACTATCTATGACCTGCAAAACCTAAAATATTTACTGTCTGGACCTTTCCAGAACAAGTTCACTGACCCATGGCACAAATGATCAGGGACTTCATCATCCAGAATGGTACTTGTCATGGCCCTGAGGACTAGTGATCTGAGCTCCAGTAACTCCTAGGTCCCTTCAATCCCCTTTGAATTTATTTTTTTGAAGTTCAGTAATATTAGAAGTAAAATGTTCTATAAACCTTTCTAAAGATAGGTACAATATATATCACACGCAACGACAAGTAAATGCACATTTACTTCATCTAAGAAGAGCAACATTATAGGTGAGGATCTGGCTGAATCTCTAAATCTTTACTATAAAAACCAACCAGAGAGGACCCCAGGGATCAAAGCAAAGAACAGAACATCCTCATCCATCCTATTGCTGACACAGTTTCTCACTTGTTAGCACCATCTCCACATTTGGTATCAGTATGAAATCAGGATGCCATTGACTTTGACTTACCTTTTTCATCAACTCCACTAGAAAAAGAAGAGAAATAAATTCTTTAAAATCTCCAGAGCTCTTACCTTGGAGTTTCTGAGATACCTGTTCTAAATATCCTTAAAAATATTTCTAGATTAGACTTCAAAGAAAAAAGCATGGCATCTAGCCCTTCCTCTGTTATAGCCAAAGATGATGGCAGCCACTGCCCGACACACGGCCATCACTGTTACCTGGTTCAGTACAGTTCTTGCTGCTCCGGAGTCCTGCATCTTCGGAAGTCAGAGTGTCATTCACCTGCATTAGCTTCCTCCCCACCATCCACTTTCTGTCTTCCCCAATGAGGTCCATAAGGTCAAGCTCTGGGGAGAAAAAGACAATAACCTTCCATCACTAACAGATGAGTTTCAGCTTTTACCATGCTGGGTGCTCAGCTTAGACCCTCAAGTCATATTGCCTTTACCTGCCTAAGGAATTCCTCTGGCTGCTGAATCCCAATGGGCCTAACACAGGCAGTCCTCAGCCAATATAGGTAGGAACTGATGTATAAATATCTCACCGCTGGAGTGAGATGACTTTGAGGTATGTATTCTAAACTGGATTGCAGAGTTTTCCACAGTGGGATTAAGCTCCTGTTGTCTACAGTATAACTCTCCTGGTAAAGCATATTTGATTAGTAGGTGTCTCTTCTCTGTATCAATCCCCTGCATCTAATGGCATGCCAAGAAATATTTAACAATCAATATCCTGGGGAAGAAATAGCCCACATTTGTAGCCATTGGCCAATTTCCATGGTATCATTATTTCCACTAGGGTCAACTTCAAGTAACCCACAGGACATCATTGAGAATAGAACTTGGCAAGAGATGAGCACAGTTAACTCCACTAAATCAATTTGAGTTGGTTTCAGCCTAAACTCTGGAATCCAGAATACACAACAGAATACACAAACTCAAAATGTTGAGTTTGAAGTATCCACAGAGCATTGAAAGAGAAGCCTGTTGATAAAGATACCTTGGACGAGGGAGTTAACATACAGAGAACACCAGAAAGTACTAAGAAAACTGGGAAGGACATGAAGCATATGTCTGGGTATGGTTTCTAGATGTGTCATGGATGGATGGAGACCCTACCCATATAAATGTCTAGATGGGGATGACTAAAAAGGAGTGGAAGTAGATATTTGGGGACTCCAACATTCCTCCAGCGAGTATGTTGAGTAAAAGAATCCAGCAAATGATCATGGGAGGAAGGAAAATAGCAAGGGACCATGGTGCCATGGAAGATGCACAGAAAGAGAACTCAAAGAAACAGTAATCAATAATCTTGACCACCATGTCAAATTCAACAGTACGAAGGCAGAGATATGACATTTGGAGCTTGACATCAGAGGTCATTAGGAGCTGGAGGCAGGCAGCTTTCTAGCAACTTCACACTAAAGAAGAAGTGATGTGAGGCCATGGCTGCCTCTTGAATGTCTAGTATAGCTGTGGGCAGAAAATGGATCTAAGTATAAGACTATAGCCTAATTCCTAGCCCAGTGTCCTTCATACACAGCCAAAGAACACACCCAGACTTAAAGACAAGGTATTCTGAAACAGTCAATAAGGAGGTGAAAGTCATCATACCCTCTTCTCTATTTCTATAGTGATTCACAGTTTCCCAAGGTTTCACCTGCATTATTGAATTTTATCTTTATAATACTACCCAGGAAAGAAAGAAAGAGCATGAACATTGTCTCTCCAATACCTAATCACTACTGGCTCAGAGTAGGACTCAATACAAGTTGAAATCACTATTCTCACTTTATAGATAGGCAAAGTGAGACTCCTGGAAGTTTTTGGAAATAATGATGCTTGTGGGCACCTCACTAAGGCCAAACAGCTCTCTTCATCGGCTACACTCTTCATTGGCTACTGATTGAAGGCTATTCCCAAAGGATATTTATTCTTCAGCTTTTCCCACCTACCACTTGGGCATTCATAGTTAGCTCCTGTGTCCAGCAAAGACCTTGGACAATGAGATGTTGTACCACACCAGTAAGCACTGGGGAAGTCAGAGCAATGAATATGGACAGAGTAGCATGGCACTTGCCAATCCACATGATATCTAAAGACAGTCATGCTGTGGCTTGCAGACTAGCCATCCTACTGTCCTCATAATCTGGGTCAGAGAAAAGCACTCTGTGAAACTGCAATCATAAGATTCAGGAAGACCCCAAAGATTTGCAAAGAAGTAAGAGTATGCCTTCCAATGACTTCCAAAGCTCTTTTTTATGCCAAGTTTCCATGGTTCTGTAAATTCTAAAAGAAAAGCTGATACCAATTAAGAGATGCAAAAGTAAAGCCAGCTATTGTAGCAGAAAATTAGAGGATTTTTTAACATAATGATTCAGTATCTTCAGGAATTAGAGACTATTAAGGCAGCACCTCTGGATTCCAAAACCTACAAACTTTTATCTCAACAAAAATAGACTTGACTCCTGACCACCAATATAATAATGCAGAGACCAGAGTCTGAGAAAATAAGAATAATGAAAACATTTTATTACATTCATTTCCTTCCTAGTGAGAACCAAGTTTGACAGTACCATACCCCAGTTCATTTGTCCTCACAAAACTCCCAGTGAGATAAGAACAGAGAGTTGGTTCTGAGGTCAAATTACCTTTGGAGTAAGTTAGAGTAGAAGTGATTTCCTAAGATCTGAACCATTCCATGGTCACAGAAATGATCTTTAATAGTTTTCATGGCTTCTCTATTGAGTGTTCTATTACATGTGAAGAACTTTCCATTCCTCATTATGTTGCATCTTTATAACAGTCCTACATGGAAATATTAGCTCCATTTTGCAAATAATTTAGGTGAAGCACCAGAGATTAAACAATAAGCCCAAAGTCACACAGTGAGCAAGTGGAATTGGAAACAAATTGGAACCCAAGTCTACTGACTTGAAAGGCCAGATTCTTGGTAAATCCTTAGATAGGATGAAATTCACCATAGTTGCATTATCCAGTAAGATAGATAACACAGACTGAACCTTATAATAGGGTAGGGTGAAGACTTTCTCACTGGACCTATGTCCCCAGAAACTATTAGGAATAGCAGTGAGATATGAGCATCACCCCTTGAAAGCATCACAAACAAAAGAGTAAGATAGTTCTGAAACCCCACTCTATGCATGGTATTCTTCTCAGTGTGGTTTCCTGGAGATTAAGCTGGTTCTACTAGCCACAGAGTACAGAGTACTATTCTGGCACATAGGGAGGAGGAGCAGAGGGTGACCAGTGGGAAAGCCTTGGTGGGTCAGAGGGTGAAGTGGATAGAGAGGTACCCACACTTGCTGTTTTCACTGCTCTCTCCTTGCTCACCTCCCCAGCTTCCTTGGACTGATCTGCTACAGCAAAGAGGCTGCTCCACAAAGCTACACTTGAGCAATGTCAACAAAAACACTTGGCCCCCATCCATTGCATTCTTGGCTCCTCATCTGCCAGGCCCTGGAAGTAGCATGTTGGCCTAATTTGTCAGGGGAAGGGGTGGGAGCTGAGGGGCAAAGAAGGAAGGCAGAAGTCTCCCATGTCACATGTCACCAGCAGAGGCAGCCTGTATGACTGTGGGCTCAGAGAAGCAGGATCAGGAGGGGTCTGTGGAGATGGTGTGGGCTGCTGCTGACAGGAGAGGAACCCCCATTCTCAATCTGAGACTCAAAGTGCATGCACTGAGGAAGGAAAGAAAGTAGAGGCTGGGTGCCAAGTTTCCATTACAGAGCTGTGTGTTCACCCTCTTGCGCTCTAGCTCACTTGCTTAGTGTCTCTCCCTCTCTCTCCCTCTCTCTCTCTCTCCCTCCCTCTCTCTCTCTCTCTCTCTCTCTCTCTCTCTCTCTCTCTCTCTCTCTCTCTCTCTCCTTCCCCCTCTCTCTGTCTCTCCAGCCACCCCTCCACACACACAAACACACCACACATAGTTGCTCTCTCACTTGCTCCCCTCCCCTCCTTCCCATGCTGGAGCATAGAAAGCCCAAGGATTTCTGACACCAACAATGGACCTTCATGGATGTCCCCTGATGTTCAGCTCCAGCTCACAGCCTTCACCAGAAGACTAACACATAGTCTCCTGGGTTCAACCTTGTCCCACAGGTCTCCCAAACCTTTCCAAACACAGGTCCCAGATCCAGCACAGTGGTAGGACTGTCTGCTCTCTGGTGTGGGGATTAACTCCTTCAGACACCTGGGCAGGTGTGGGTGTCAGCGGCAGCAACAGCATCTTAATGCCCCTCAGCTATGTGCCAGTATACTGTCTGTGTGGTCTCACTACATCCTCTTATAGGGAATATTGCCCCTTTCTCAGCTTCTGCTGCTGGGGTTAAGCAGTCAAGATGGAACCCAGGTCCCGCGCTGACTCCAAAGTCCAGGTGTTTGCTTTCCACCTTGTCTAGGAGCTCCAGGAGCTTGGGAAGGGCCCTTATGGGGTCCACAGGCTCCTTTTGAGAGGGCATATTAACTCTCTTCTCCCGTGAATTGGAATGCTGCCTCGCTTTTTAAAAACTGAGATGGAGAGAACTACTATTCCCAAATATCCAAAGAACCATGGCAACAGCCCCTGATTTACAGATGTAGAAATTGAGCCATGGAATCAAGAAGATCCAGAAAACTCAGTGAAGGACACAAGAAACCAAGCTGATGGCAGCAGTCACTGACTTCGGTTCTCTAGGCTGCCTCAGCGTTCCTCGTCAAGGTTATAAATACCCACCCTGCAGTTTACACAGCTGCCTCAACTCTGCACCCAGGGTCCTCACCCCAAGGTTGGAGGTCGCGTTTGCATAAGTCAGCAGCCAGCTGACAGCCTTCTGCCGACTCCAGGAGCAGCAACAGTCTCCAAATGACCTCCTTCCAGACCCCACCCCTCAAGTCTCTGGAGGGTGCGATCTCACCCTCTGTGGGTAAGAGGGCAGTGGAACACTGGCTTTATACATGTGGATATTCCACATGGATTTTTAAACAAGAGTTTCCCATTGCATTTGTTCATGACCCTTGAAAGAAGCACAATTGTGGAAAAGCTGCACCTCACCAAAGCAAAGCATCCAAACCCACCAGGAGAAGAAGTGGAGACTACATGGACCATGTACTGATTTCCCCCCAACTGCCTCCAGAAAGACAGAGAAGGAGAGATCCAGAAAATCTGTCTGAAAGAAGAGCTCTGAACTACAGAGAAGTCATGGATTCCTCCTACCATTAACATACTGTGTCTGATGGGTGAAGGAACTCAGAAACAATGGGCTGGGTCAAGTTCACCCTCCATGTTTCCATTGAGACAACTGGAAATCACAGACAGCAACTGTTAGGCTTGATTTAAACTTCTTCCCAGT